TTCGCTAGTGCTAGTTTAATAGAGGATTTGACATACAAATTTTGTGTCAAAATAATTTATAGAAAAAAATAAAAAATAAAATAGTGTAAGGATGTGACATTGTGATTGGGGCAATCTTGGCCCTCCATTCAGAATAGATGGTTGGATAAGGGGAAGTATATAAGTTTTATGTTGTAGGGAAAGCATAGAAAGCTTGCTCTTCACATAATATTATGCTAGTTGTCATTAATTTATATAAAAAAAATGAGAGAGAGAGAGAGAGTATTTTAAAATGTGTTTACTTTCTAAGTAGGAAAAATTACATAAATATCCATTTTAATTTCCGTTATTATGAAAGTACTTAAATATTTATGCTATTACACATATGTCCATTTTATGATCTTCATAACAAATGTTTTTCAAAAATATGAAACTAAACTACCCATTTTCAGTTTTTTAAAAACAAAAATGAGTTTGGTTTTGGATTTTGAAAAACCGAACATGACCCCAACTCAAAACTTCCACATTGAGAAACCAATTTAGTCTCTTCTGATATGTACAAGCCAAGACTGAGTCATACTGAGAGGGTCTAACAAAACCAATCGAAGGTAAGAGCATAGAAGGTCTATAATGGCATTTTGCAGCTACAAATTCGCCTTTAAACCAAGCCAAGAGAGCATCGTTGGGAGCAAAAGTGTTGAGAAATTGAGTTGGGGTAGGATTGGACAGTTGCAAAAGTGTTGGGAAATTGAGTTGGGGCAGGATAGGGTGGTTGAGAAATGACATGAGTTCGATGGTTGGTGCCATTAATGGAGGAGAGAGAGATTTAAGATTGTGGCGTGAGAGAGTGGAAGGGAAGCCATTAGAGGTTTGGGTTGAGACCTTGTTTGCCAATCATAGATGCTAACAGAAAGAGAGAGAGGTTTCTTTATGAATTCCGATTTTCAATGGCGGAGGCTAAAAATTACATCAGGAGATATCATTTCCGTTTAGAGATAGAAAAGTTAGGTAGTATGTTATTTTTGAAGAGAGAGAGAGAGAGGCATAGGGAATTCAGATCGTGCCAAAATATGTACTTATATTGTTGAAATTATCTGTGAAAATCTATCGAGAAATTACTTATAGACTGATTAAATTTATGAGAGAGAGAGAATTGTAGAGAGCAGAAGTTTTGCGACCCAAAGATTTGCAGAGAGCAAGAGTTTGGAGACTAAAAGGTTGCACAGTATTAAACAGATGGCGCCATTTTCGGTTTTTCAACAATCGAAATGAGGCCCATTTCGGTTTTTAAAAATCGAAAATCGGTTTAATTTAGCATCAAGCAACGCATGCCATCCAAGTCAATATTCTGGGAATACCTAGCTGCTTTCACATTTGTGCTAATCTACACAAAATCAACATAAAATAGAAATATTTCCTAGCCTTTATTTTTTATTTTCCCATCCATTTATCGTATTTTTTGTCTTTTATTTCCTCCAAATAACTGGGATAAAGGTTGGATGATGATGATGACATCCTGTCTAACATTGATTTATCGAAATTTACTATTATTGAAAAATTGTATACTCTTGGGGGAGCATTTCCTCCATTCACTCACTCGTATAAAATCCAATCTAGGAGTAACTTTAAGCCCTCAAATTGGGTATCTAACTTCTATCACTTGAAGTAACCTCATCAACAATAAAAAATAGAAAAAAACTTTTCATACACTTAAAATGTGTAGCCGACCTCAATTAGTTGGAAAAAGATTTCGACAATGATGATGAAAAAGACTTTCCATGCACTTAGATGTGCCTGAACGAAGATAGCAGTTCAGGATGGAACGGTGACGAACCAATTTTTTAAAGGCCAATTAGAGTTTAAGAACTCAAAATCTAAATTTGTTTTTAGATGACAATAATCCAATTTTTTCCTAAGGTGAATCAGAAAAAGTAAAAATATCCTCCTAAGCAGCTCCTTCACCGGAGGGAGTAAATGCACAGTGCATAGGAGTGTGGTCTTTACTTTTTAATATTTATTCTTTTCCATGAACCAGCACCATAAAAAAGCACTACAAAGTAAAAGTATATTTCTCTTACAAGCTTGTAATTACCTTTTATGTGGGCCCCTATAGGGGATGAATTCCTCTCATGACACCCACTTTCTCCAAATGTGAATTCATCACTCCACTTTTAGCATAGGCAACCTTTATTTAACTTCATTTGATTGGATTCCCTTTTTTTTTTCTTTTTTTTCTGTCTTTTTTTTATATGATAATAGTGGGATGGAAGGTGGTCGCTATGTTGATACATCAACACTCCTAACCACCAGCTTAGGGGTGGCAATAGACCTAGATCTGACCCAAGACCCAAGGGGTAGACCCGATCCAGGTCCGGGTAGAGGTGAAAAATTTGGACTCGACGGCTTAGGTCCGAGACCAAATCTTAAGCCTAAATACTATTCGGGTTTGGGTCCAAAATTATGAAATATATTTAAATATAGTTAATACATAGATATATTAATTTTTGGGTCAGGTTCAAGTCCAAATTCCACGCTCTATTTTCATGTCCGGGTCCCATAACATTTTCGGGTCCGGGTCAGGACCGGACTTGTTGCCACCCTACCAATGCCCAACCCATTCCAGCATCCCATACTAAAATGCAGGCATACGTTCTATAGTATGAGAAAAGGGACTGTCTATAGTGAGGCTGTTTTCTCTATGGCCTGTTTGATAATCTTTTTGTAGTTTTTCTGGGAACCCTTAAGAATTTCTAGCATTTTGGAAACATCTAGAAAGTTGGAAGACTCTGTTTAATATACAAAGGTAAGAAAAAATTTTAAGCCATCAATTGTGAGATTTGAAGGGTCAAGGTCAAAAAAAAGCTTGAGGAAATCTCATTTCAACAACAAGGCAATTGGTTATACATATTACCTTTAGATTTCACATCCGATGGCTTAAGATGTTTGTTGCCTTCTGTACCAAAGGAATCAACCTCACTGAACTTTTTTGTTATAAAAAGTATGCATGCATAATTTAGGGCACATTGGGCATGTCCGAAATCTCTGACCAAAAAAAATATATTCGTTGATCAAGACAAATTTTCACAATTTGTTTGTGAAAATGTCTCTTCCAAAAATCTCCATGGGCACGCCGCCATACAAATTGTGGGAAATCTCCATAGTTTCTTCAAAATTGGCTACATACCCTAGGAGGTATGAAACCGATTTCTCAAAAATCTACCTCCTGGAGAGAAATTTTCTTTAAAACAAACAATATCTTGAGGGAATGATAATGTAGGAATCATGCCTAGACCCTGTAAAATAAAATGTTTTGAGAAAATTTGAATCCCTCAATTCAGCTAGAGAAGAGATGGGATCCGAGCGTTAGGATACTCTTGCTCATAGGGCATTGTCTATAAAGAGATCATTTATCTTCTGTGCATGAATGTCACAATCATTCATACTCATTAGATGTCCAATTGGATGGTTTTGTATGAGTCACAAAGTCCGAGAATTTTTTTTTGGAACTTTGTGTCTATTCAATGACACTTTTACAACCATCCCGTTTTGATATTCAAAGGACAAAAATGATTATAATTTATATGTACAAAAGATAAATGACTTTTTTTTTTTTATAGATAATCCCTACACTCCGCGTACCCACATTCTAGACAAATAATCCTTAAACCTTCAATCCTCAATTAAATACATTAATTGAGGAAGAAGATTAAATTCTAAGCTCAAAAAGAAGAAGATTCTAAAAAATGTGATTTGTATAAAGCCGAGGCTCTAAACAATCGAAGTAAAATACACCTTAAAATAGTATTGAGAAATGTCGTTTCACTACTGGAAATCCTTGTGAAAGCTTTAAAATCTATTTTCATCTCTAATTATAAAATTCTAAGCTTAAAAAATGGTGTGGACTTGAGGAGATCTATGAAAACTTGAAAATCTTGAAAATTGACAGTAAAAAAAGCTTTAAAATCTATTTTCATCTCTAATTATAAAATTCTAAGCTTAAAAAATAGTGTGGACTTGAGGAGATCTATGAAAACTTAAAAATCTTGAAAATTGACAGTAAAAAAATACATTATAGAGCACACTATTTCCAAAACTTGAAATCATTTTTTTTTCATGTCCATGCATGTTGATGTCATGATGATCAATTTGAGGATATTTGGGGATCAAAACAACCTCTTCTAGTTAAATTTTTTAAGTGGACTCTGATTGTTTAGAGCCTTGGCTCTATATAAACTTTTTCCAATTATAAATACTAAGTATAAAAAGCCAATCCCTAAAAA